GGGGGGAGGAGCAGAGGTGCCGAGTCCTCGAACCCACGTGGCCGAGAGATCGGATCCCGCTATAAGAAAAGCGTGCTTCCCACTTTGTGTGTTGTCCTAACAGCAGTTGTACCCAAGGATTGGGACTAGCTTTACCTCCCTGGGGTGACGGGCCTGAGTGCACGTCGACCAGACCCAGCCAAAGAATCCCTGCCGGGCTGCAGAGACGGTTCGACTGGGCGCCAAGAGCAAGCCCAGCTCCCAGCGTGTCCAACCCTAAGGGGACTTTATGTCACCTCTGCAGGCATTAAAGCACACGCGCACCCATGCATACACACATGCACACTTAAAATCGAAGAGAATTGCTGCCGTACAACTTTGCATAAAATAGTATTTGCTTATTTAAATTATCTTTCTGGCTAAATGGTTTGAAGCTAATTTTTTTAATGTTTTATTAACGTATTAATTGTAGGTAATGATGGTTTCATTATGACACTTTTATGTATGTATGTATGTATTTAAACACTGCTTGTAGATGAAAAGATTTATACTCGGAGTGGCTTTGCAGATACAGATGCATATATCTGATGTATTTGTATTTGTATATTAGCACTGTTGAGTATTAGAGGGTTATTGAACAGTGTATTTAAGAATCTCCCATGAACCTTATTTATACCCCTTCCACTAATCCCCTTCTAGTTCCCTTCTACTTTGTTTCTTTTGTGTGTCCGTGTCCCAGTGTGTTTTGTCAGTGTGCTTATAGTAGCATGACACTTAACCAGTAGCTGTACCACTGATGAAAATGGCCCTCAGGATTTGAGTCAATTTATAAGGAAAAATGACAAGAAAATTATGAATTTTACCAAGGAAAATTAAGATCATTTGGAAAAATGACTATATGTGGGTAGTGATACTGTGATTGAGCTTCCTGATAGATAGGGTAAGGAGAAATTCATTAATAAAATTCTAATTGAAAAGCACTAAAGATTTCTCAGATGAAACAGCTTTTTATATTATTTAAATTTCTCAAGTGGAATATGGAAGTGAAGATGATGCAGCTAATATTTTAATTTTACATGCTGCAGAAAATATCCACTCTAACCCAGACACATTATTAAAATTGGATTCAGTGAAGATAAATCTCAATTTGATTGAAGAGAGATTAAAGGAAACTATATGCTGTTAAAATTGCAAATGTTAATGCAAAATATCTACAAAGCTTTTATTATGTAATTTATCGCTTAGGTACATCTTACTAGGAGAAATACAGAATTAAAATTTTGCTTTGTTTGCATAGCAGAAACATTCGATATTTTTTAAACACTATACATCAAAGGGTTTATAATCACAGTGGCTTCTCTCCTCCCCCCCTTTTTTTTTTGAGACAGGGTTTCTCTGTGTAACAGTACTAGCTGTCCTGGAACTAGCTCTTGTAGACCAGGCTGGCCTCAAACTCACAGAGATCTACCTGCCTCTGCCTCCTGTGTGTTGGTATTAAAGGTGTGTGCCACCACCACCCGGTTTACAGTGGTTTCTTTAAGTAGATATGGATACTATCTATTTGTGTATTACACTGCTAGGTATCAAAGTGGTATTGAACAGAATACTTCTTTGTATTTCTAGACTGTCAACAAATGTACAGAAAGTGATTTTGGTGTTTCATTTGCAATGTCCAGTCTCTCAAAAAGTCGGGAAGACATCAATACAGGTAGGTTTGGACAAACAATATATAAAATTTCATAGAAACATTTTGTTACATACATTGCTAGTTATTGAAAATACAGTGTAAGTATTATATTGGTATTCTTGACATTCAACTAGGTAAAATAATATAAAACATGTTCTTGTATTTAATACCAGTTTTATTTTTTGCAGATCCTGCTTTACAAAAACTTAGCATTTTGCCAATACTTGAACAGGTTAGTGAAAGTGTGTACATATAATCTGTTATATTATTTGAAGAAGAAAAAAAATTGGTATTTGTGGGATTAGTAGTGTTGTGCATTTAATTTTTATTACATTTATTTATGTGTATATGTATTTGTGTATGCGTGTGCATATAATATGTGTGTGGATCAGAAAACAACTTGCAGGCCTAGGGCTCAAATCAGGTTATCATTGGTCAGTACCATTACTCATGGAGCCAACTTACTGGTCATGTGGTCTTGTGTATTTAACTGTCATTAGCTCTAAAAATATAATCTTATAGTAAACATTAATCTTTTAGGTTGCTAATTCTGGCAGTTGCCACTATCAGGAAGGACCAAATGACTCTGATTTTGAGGTCAGATATTTCCTTTTTATTATTGGAATTTCATTTATCATTTGAATATACCTTTTTAAGTATTAATATTTGGTTAATATTTTAAACTATATCCTTTGAAATCTTTCTTTTGTTGGTTCTGGGTACTAAATCAACCTCATACATTTTAGGCAATTGCTCTGCATCCCCATTCCAGATATTTTTTTTCTTCTTAAAGTATTTGAAGTGTGAAGCTTTTGTATTTTATGAATGAAAGGAACCAGTTCTTTTGGGGAAATTTAATTTTAAATAAAAAAGCTAAGACTAGAGGAGTGAAGACGGATGTAATATGTGAAAAGGCCAGCATTTACAAAAATAATCTTTTAATGAAATTGTTATCTGGATGCTTTGTTGTATTAAGAAATTTATTTGTAGGATATAGCATAGTTTTTATGAGTTATAAAATCATTCTTATAGCATATATTCTAAATTTATGGAAATTAAATGGCCTGATAAGTGCTGTATGTCTATTGCTAAGCTTCATAGTGTCATAGAATAATAAAAATTGAATTCAGTTTGTATTTTGATAACAGGTTATCAATAAGCAAATATCAGTTTATTTTTTTTTTAATGAAGCTTGAGGATAACTCCATTGTAGAGCTACATTATTTGCTTAGCATGTGAGATGCCCTGAGTTAGATCCCCAGCTCCTAAATGAAAAACAAACCCAAATTCCTCTGGCATTTATAATATGATGTGGATAAAAAAAGGCAAGAAATCTAAATAAAGCTTTAGGCTCATTGAAAATTACATATCAAATAACTTTCTATTTTAAATATTTTAAACATCACACTCTTTATTTATTTTTATCTTATGTGCACATTTGTCTGTGTGAGGATGTCAGATCCCCTGGAACTGGGATTTTAGACAATTGTGAGCTGCCGTGTGGGTGCTGGGAGTTGAACCCAGCCAGTGCTCTTAACTTCTAATTCATTTCTCCAGCTCCTAAACACCACACTCTTTTTTTTTAAAAAATATTTATTTATTTATTTATTTGTTATGTATACAATATTCTATCT